GAACTGAGCCTTGGCAGCAGCACCCGGGAGAAGTACCAGCTGGAGGGACCTGGCGCGGAGGACAAGCAGTTGGGCCAAGGTAGGGGGCACCGCACCCGCAGGGTGGGAACCGCGAGGAGGGAGGAAGGTGGGCGCTGTGCCCAGGCCGGAGCTCGGACCCCTGTGACACCTGTGATCATACGGTCATCACTGACTGCTTTCTGCGTGCCAGACCTTTACATGGGATATCGAGTCATTTGTTCATTCAGTGGGTATTTATTACGCACTTACTATATTCCTGGGCTAAGGAAGCGTTTTCTGTGGTGGATTCATTCATTCAACAGATAACTGTTATTCGGTACCTACTAAAACTACATGCCTGGTCCTATACCAATGGATGTACATGGTTCATTCATTCAGGCAACAAACAGGCCATGTGCCGGGCACTGGTTTAGTCATCAGGATACAGCGTTGAGGGCAGGTGCCCGTTCCCAGGAAGCGTACATGCAAATGGAGGCGCAGGTAGTAACTGTCCAACCAGACCAGGAGAAGCACTGGGAAGAACATAGAACAGGATATGGTGGAGCCTTTCAGGTTGGGGTGGGCCTGCCAGTTCAGATTGGCTTGGGAAAGAAGGTGGCATTTGAATGGAGACTTCAGAAGCGAGAAGGAGCCAGCCGTGGGAAACGCAAGAGCAAGACCTGAGGCGGAGCAAGGGTCTACGACAGGGGCCATAGGTGGGGGGTCGCCAACGAGGCTGGAAATCAGGCAGAGTCACAGAAGGCCTGAGGAGCTAGGCTAAGGAGTTTGGATTTTATTGTAACTGCATTGGGGACCCATGTGACTGTTTTAAGTCAGAGAATGATCTGACTCCCATTCTGTGTGGGGTCAGAAGGTCCATGCTGATGTGGATTGAGATTTCAAGAAGTAATCTTCCAAAAAGAAGACTGCTGGTGGTGACCGCTGAGACTTATTGAGAGCAAACCTCTCTATCTTTAGCAGCAACCACATACTAACTCATAATAGTTAACGTTCACGGGGGCGCAGTGCACAGTGAGCAGTGTGCTTCATAAGGTGCAGTTGGTTCCTTCTCTTGTGCCCATTCCACAGATGAGGAAATGGTGGTGCAGAAATGTGACGCCACTTGCCCTGGGTCCCCCAGCCGGCAAGTGGGAAGGCAAGGATTGGAATCTGGGTCTTTTTTTACCCCAGAACCCACCCTCTTTGTCGTCACTCATCACACTCCTCTTAGGATGCTCGATAGCTCAGTGTGTTCATACCCGAGATGCTCTGGCCCTCACTGGTTCCGCCTCCTGGGTGTGAAGGTCAGGACTGAGCAAGGTGCTTAGTCAGCCCCCCCGGGGGTTCTTGGCCTTTCCGGGCCTGACTTCCCTGGTAAAGTTTATCAAAAACATGGGGCCTGTTTAACGGTTTTAGCATTTAAAGCTTATTAACACTTCGGAGGTTGTTCTTGCTTGTCCCCCACTTTGCAGGCGAAAGAATTGAGGCACAGTGAGGTTAGATGACGTCCAAGGTTAGTGTCACAGCTACAAAGTGGTGGAGTCAGGGTTGGTACCAGGACTACCTGCCCAGAACCCACGTGAAGGCAGGTACCGGCTCCTGCTCCTGGTGAGCCAGCTAGGAGACGCTGGACCCATCTGAGCCTGAAGGCTCCAGGAATGGGCAGGAGGGCCACCACCGTGCCCACAATCCACCATCTGTGTGCAAGGACCGGTGGCAGCAGGGGGAGGACGATGAGATTCCCTGGCTAATGCAAGGCTCTGCTGGGCGAGTGCCCGCCATTCCCTTAGACGAGAAGCCGAGAGATCCCTGGGGCTCTGTCATCAGGAAGAGAGTCATGCTGAGTGCTCTCAAACAAAAATAAAAACAGGCTTCCTACTACAGCAGGTGGCAAACTTCAGAAAATTGTTCCCTGGAGAGGAGGAGGTGCAGGTGAAACCTCTAACAAGGCCCAGGAAGAGTTCCCGACGCTACCCAAGGGCGTGGTAAACCCAGGAGGGGACCGAGTCTGGTGCCCGGTGTTGGGGAGTGGCCTCCTCTCCTCCCCCACAGCATCCTTGGGGCTGTGGGCCAGAGGCCGTGTGCCTCAGGATGGCGTTTCCTTCATGCCACCTCCAGAACCCTTCCCTCAGCGAGCGATGCCAGGCTGAGCGCAGATGCTAAGCAGGTTATGCGATTAGTGCTGCTGTTCAGTCAGCAGACAAATTAATCTCCTTAAGTGGTTTAGTGGAGGGTGGAGGTGTGCGCGTCTGGAGGCGGGAGGTCCCCGCAGGCTGCAGCAGGCGTGGGACACCGACTGGGAAAGCTGCACCCGGATGGACGGCTGCTCACATCTCCCAGGCGGGGTGTCACCCTGCCCATGCCCAGTTTCTTCTTCCGTCTGTCCCCAGCACCCAGCACACAGCGGGGGCTCAGTGGTGATGGCTTTGAGGTGGAGGGCCCTGAGTTTGGCCTTCCCTGCCGTGCAGAGGGCAGGAACTGTCATCTTCATCTTGGTAGCTCTGAACCTGGCAATGGGCCTGGCACACTGTCGGCGCCCGTGACTTGGGGCAGGAAGGAAGGTGCAGCCTGTGCCTGGTCTGAGCCGTGGGTCCGAGACTCTGGAGGGCCCCCGTCAAGGACAGGGAGACGAGTGGGATGGGATAGGCCGAGTGAGAGAGCCCATGTTTCAGTCCTACCCATGCGCCCCCTTCCCCTTCCTCAGGGTTCAGGGGCTGTTACTTGACGCCAGGCTTGTAGGGATGCATGTAGAAGGCATCGCCATAGTGATAGGAATGCCAGTCGCAGTAAGGAGAGTAGTGATGGATGTTATAGAGCGCTCTCCCCGCACCAGCGCTATAGACTTCCCTGTACTGTCTCATTGAGTCCCCCACACAAGCCCTCCAGGGTAGGTGTTATCTCCGTTTTTACAGATGAGGAATTGGAGCTGAGAGGGGCTAAATCAGTGTCCCAATATCATGAACCAGCAAGTGGTGGAGCTGAGATTTGAACCCAGGCACTTTGACTCCAGTGGCTGGGATATCAAACACAGCATTAGATGCTGCCCTTTGCTTCACCCCAATGCAAGGCAGGACCTGGTGCAGAGTTCAGAGATGGCTGGAATTGGGCAGGACCATCTTAAGGCAGAGGGTGGATAGATCAAAAGTGTGTTGCAAAAGCGGTTCTTTGGCTTCTGAACCCCATCTTGCCATCCTTCCTTTCCCACCTCTTCCTCCAGCTGTGAATACAGCCCAGGGGTGCGGCCTCAAAGTGGCCTGCGTCTCGGCTGCCGTGTCAGATGAATCCGTGGCTGGGGACAGTGGTGTGTATGAGGCATCTGTACAGAGGTGGGTCCCTGAGTCCTGGATCTCTGGGAACTCTGAATCCTCAGAGTTTGGGCCCCAAGGTATGTGGGAGGGACCCACGGGGGGACATGCCCGGGTGACCCCACACCCCAGCCTCTCAGGCAGCCCTGTTTGGAGCCATGCCACAGAGGCAGACAACACAGCTCCTCCGAGGGCTGGGGGTGCTTTGGATTCGGGAGCACACCAGTTCTTTGGTTGCCATCTGGGGTGTAAGGCTAGGGGAGCAAGCACTGGAGAAAGGACAGCCCCTTCGAAAGGGACCAAGAGCGGTGGTGGGCGGGAGGGTCAGCAGGGAGGCTGAGCGGACCTCCCCACACTGTCCTCCTGAGGATCCAGCTGCACCTTTCCAGACAGAACCCTGTTTCTAGACAGTAACTTGGGCCCCTGGTCACCGCAAGGAGGTCTGACCCTGTTTCTCTCCCGTGTTGCCTTCCAGACTGGGTGCTTCAGAGGCCGCTGCTTTCGACAGTGACGAATCAGAAGCAGTGGGTGCAACCCGGGTCCAGATTGCCCTGAAGTAAGTGACAGGGAGGGCAAACGCAGAGGGGTGCCATCTGAGCAGGGTCCCTTCCTCGTGGGCAGCGTCTCACCAGCGTTTACCTTCCCGGCTGCCCAGGGAGGAAGGCAGAACCACCAGGATCTGCTGACACTTGTAGGCTCCCAGCTAAAGGGGACCCATCTCTTTCCCTGCCTCCCAGCCCCTCACTTTATAGAGGTCTTCAAAGCCCTGAGGCTTTGCAGACCGTGTAACTTGCCCTGACTCACTGAGCTGGCCAGTGGCAGAGCCAGACCAGGACTGGGACTGAGACCTCGCTCTTGGTCTGTTTGGTCATTGTCGCTGTGGCTTTTGCTTTACCATCCCATGGAGAGTTCAACCTCCTAGACCGAAGTTGACTCCTGGGGGCTACAGCCCAGACTTAATTCTTATTGTCTCTTGATGTGGGGATGGCCTCAATATTTTTTTAATAGGGCTTAATTGCCAACATTTAAATATCAGGAAATTTCGCACAAACTTCTGGCATCCCTTTTAAAATGGAGACTAATAGCTCCTCTATTCCTGAATGGCAGCAAAACACTGGGTCTGCGCTCTCAGGCTCACCACAGTCCCCAGAGCAGCCAGCAGCCACCACGCCTGTGATGATCAGAGAGAGAGAGAGAGAGAGAGAGAACTGTTAATAATAGGTACTCCGTGTGCCCCTTTCCCTTTCAGGTATGATGAGAAGAGTAAGCAATTTGCAATATTAATCATCCAGCTGAGTAACCTTTCTGCTCTGTTGCTGCGACAAGACCAGAAAGTGTGAGTATGTGGCCCACAGGCTGTGTATTATCCTCTGTCCCCCTGCTGCCATCCCTGGGATCACTCTTTCGCTCTGTCCTGTTCGCTCTGCTTACAAGGGGCCCTGTAAACCCACTGGGGGCATTTAATGCCTGTGACTGTGATGCTAAGTGTCAGCACTGTGCACGTGGAGACAGGCATGAGGGCAAACTCACCAACCATAAAGAGAAGCACTCCGTACTTCACACACACGCCCCGAGCACCTACCGTGTGCCAGCGGGAAGCACAGGGTGCTGAGCAGATCACTATGAACTTGAGGCCTCCTGGAGAAGAAAGTCACGGTCCCTTGTATCTGCTCTCAAGTATTCCACGCAGAAAGAGGCAGGTCTACCATTCTCAAGAGTCAGCACCCATCACTGTGCTTCTGTTGGATGTGATGGGTGTTACCTCGAAATTGATAATGGGCCAATACCTACCTGCACTGTCTGCCTGTTGGCTGTTCCCAGCACACAGACCAGGAATCGCCTGCCTCCGTGTTCTCCTTTACACCAATGGCCTGACAGCAGTAGCAGGAGCTTATATATATATAATCTCATATATCTGGGATCTGCACCCAGCCAGCATCGGGGTGCAGCATGTGGGAAGGAGGAAAGCAGGCCACACAGAAGAAAGACGCGATTGGACACTGGGGTTGTTTTCAGTCTTTTGCTCGTACACATGGCGCCAGGGTGAAAAACCTCATATGTCACTGGTACTTGTGCAGGGGTATCAGTGCAAGGGTGCCTAGAAGAGAGCTGTCTGGGTCAAAGGGCAAATGCATCTGAGGTTTTGTTAGGACGGCACGTTCCCCTTCGCAGGGGTTGCCTTCCTCCCAGCGACTGTGTGAGGATTCCTGTGGATTAACAAGCAGCCTCGCCGTGGAACTTCGCACGCTGCTGGCCTCAAGCTCCTCATGCTTTGAGGTTCTAAGAATTTAGGGCGTTCAGGAGAAGGAAGAGCGATGTATATTCTTAGGGGCCCTTTTCTGCATCCCTCCCAAATAACCTCCGTGAGAAACGACAGGCCCTGGTCCACTGTTTTCTTCGGCATTTGCAGCAGCTGGTTAGCTCATCACAGCCCCCAGACTTGGGCTGACCCGGGCTGTCCTGCATTTCTGTCTCCCTGTAGGAACATCCGTGTGGCTGTCCTTCCCTGTTCCGAAAGCACCACCTGCCTGTTTCGGACCCGGCCCCTGGACGCCTCGGACACCGTCGTGTTCAACGAGGTGTTCTGGGTGTCCATGTCCTATCCAGCCCTTCACCAGAAGACCTTAAGAGTCGATGTCTGCACTACCGACCAGAGCCTTATGGAAGATTGCCTGGTGAGGGCAGTGTGTCTATCTGTCTGTCTGTCTGTCTGTCCGGACTTCTGTCCTTCTAGGGATTGGTCCACCTTGCACTTCAGCATGAAGGCTTAGAGAAAACACAGATTGGTGTCAGTCAGCATCATCTGGGGTTCGAGGCAGGCTCTTCCACAGGTAAACAGCGTTCTCAGACTTACTGGGGGTGAGGGGAGCTCGCTTTATGGGAGAAAGAGTAACAGACTTAAAAATGTTTTCCTAAACTACCAGAACCTGGAAGATACTAGCCACATGCCATAGTTTGACCATGCAGCATTAGAGAAGAACAAATAGACAGGAGCTCAGACCCCACCTTTACCACCCGTTATATAGCTGGGTGACTTCGGGCAAGTTACTTAACCTCTCTGGTCCTCAGTTTTCTGATCCATAAAATGCAAATGATAATGCCTCCCTCATGCCCACTAGAAGAGTCATTATAAGGATTAAGTGAGAGGGTTCATGTAAAGCACCTACTCATCTGACACACAGTAGGTTCTCGTCGGATGGGGCCACTGCTAGTCCCTCCCTGGAGCAGAGCTCCTCCGACGTCCCCCTCCTCCTCACCCGCCTATTTCTCCCTCCCCCCACCAGTATTGGCAGGAGTCAGGATTGGAGATGAAGTAGCCCTGGGTCCCTACAGACAGGCAGACCCAAGTACAGATGGATGTTCCTCAGCTTTCGCATCTAGAAAATGGGGATTCGTAGCTAACGCAGGGGCTTGATGTGCTGCCCAAATGACTTAGAAGAAGTGAAGGGCTTTGTTCCCCCTGCGCCATTTAGATTTCAAAGTGTTCGAATGGTAACATGAAATAGAGCCACCTTTGATGGCTACGCTGTAAGCCAGTAAGGATAAACAACACATTGTGTTGAGGGCCCCGTTGGAGATGGATGGCTTTAGGTAACAGGAAACGCAGGCACGTGCAAAGGAGGGAAACAGGATGTGAACCCTCCCGGAGCTTCTCCCGCCTCCGTGTCTGGACGCTGGGAGGGTGGCAGGGGCAGTCCTGCCCCCTGGATGGGCTGGCCTCCTATTTCCTGGTGTGACCCACACTTGACCTGCAACCTCCTCACTCTCCATACTTGACAGATGTGCCTCTGCTTTTGCTGTGGCATTGAGGCCACATCCTTTGGCCCTAAGGCTGAGTCACCAGCCCTTCCCTTCCCTGCCGTGCCACCTAAAACTCTTCCAGCCTCAATCTCTTTATGTGTAAAATTCAGCTAGCACTGCCTATCTCACCAGTGGTTCTCTGGAGATTAAACGAGGCTCCACAGCAGCGCTTCCGAAACTTGAACACACACACGAGTTCCCTGGGGCCTCTGGTTAGAATGCAGATTCTGATTCAGCAAGTCTGGGACGGGGCCTGAGATCCTGCATTTCGAACAACCTCCCAGGTCATGCCAATGCTGCTGGTGCCTGGACCGCACCTTGGACAGGAAGGACGTAAAGCAGTGAGGAGCCTGCAGGATACCAGTTCCCATCCCTCTCCTCCTCAGCTGGGGCCCATAACAGCATCGTCGTGGCCACTTACGCTGTTATTATTACTGACAACAATGCAATAGCTAGTGTCGACTGGGTACAGTTTATGTGGCAGGCACTGAGCTAAGCTCCTTACCTGTATTATCGCTGTGGATCCTCACTGAGTCTTATAAAATAGGCCCTGGTATACCAGTGAGGAAACCGAGGCACAGAAATGAGAAAGAACTTTCCCAAGGTCACACAGTCAGGAGCACTGTCAGACCCTCTACAACCCACCCATGTCAGACCCTCGGTGTTTTCTCCGTGCCAGCGCAGTGCTCCCTGGACCTCACAGGTGGGGACAGTGACTGGAGGGAGTGGCAAGCATGGTGGCCGCTGAGTGACAGGGCAGGACACTTTTCCAAACCCGGGCTCCTGCAGCGCAGCGTTTCCTCAGCCCTGGCCACTCCAAAGTGAGGAGACTGCATCCTGTGTTCTTCTCCTAATTGGATGCCTTTTGTTCCTCTTCCCTAATTGAAGTCTGGCCATTGCTGGTTGCCATGGCAGCAGCCAAGCGCCCATCCCACGGTGGCTGGTCTCTGTCCGTGGCCAATGGGAAACCTACTTCTCCGTATCCTGTGGGGACGTGGAGTGTCAGGCTATCATGGTTTGGTGGCTGGAGGAGGCGAGGAAGGGAGACACAAGGAGAAAGGGCTGTCTGCTCCCACGCAGTCTTCCAGCACTGCTGCGTTTGCGGAATCCCTGGTCTGTTCAGAGCCATGGAATCAGCGAGGCAACCAGAGTACCGGTCCTGAGCAGTGTCTGTGTGTCCAGCGCTGGCTTAAGAGCTTTGCGTGCAGTATCTCATTGAATCCTCACAGCAGCCCTAGGAAGAAGCATCAGGACTGCTGTCATTTGACAGATAAGGGCGCAAGGCCCAGACAGGCTCCGTAACCTGCCTGGGTCATCCAGCACATAGGTTTAGAGACCTGGATTTAGAGACCTCAATTTGAACACAGATTCCAGCTTCCTTACACATAGCCATCGAACTGTCCTATCTGTCACGGGGTGACTGTACGAGTCTCTCACGTCCTTGGACCTGGATTATGGTTTTGGAGGAATATGTGGCCTGCTTTCCCCAATATCAGAGGCACCAGCTCTACCCAAAGCTATAGTGCAGCATAATAGGTCACATGCTTTCCAGCTGGCCCCTAGCTGCCCACCCTCACCTGCTAAGCTCACAGCCACTCAGCACAGGCTCCATTGAGGCAGCCCCCTTCCTAGGCCCCACTCAAGTCCCGTAAGTAACAACAGCTCATAACACCATCTCCTTTGTGCCTTTCTCACTTGGCGAAATCCCAGCTCCGTCGAAGCGAACTCTCCACCTCCTTTCCACCTGTGCAACTGGACAAAAACACACACAGCCATGCCGGATGGTGTCATTTTAAAATCATGGCCACGGAGCTCCCGTGAGCCCTAATGCTGGTGCCCAGCACTTATGCTGTATCTCCAAAGATTTTACTCTCCAGCTTGTCCCAGCGGGTAGTTCTTATCCTCCCCTCCCCTGAAACCTTCTGCAACTGCCACCCACATCCAGCTGTTCTCATCTCTGCAATTTCTCCTGGCTGTAAGGATGGGCCCTCCCACTCCCATTTAAGGCCATTCTCTCGCAAGGACATCAGGCCAGCGGTCATTGTCCTGCTCTCCCTTCTGTCTTCAGTTCTCCCTCCTCCGCTGGATCTGACCCGTCAGTGTCCCAACGTGCTGCTCTTCCCCTTTGCTTAAAAAACACACTTTTCTTTACCCTACTACTGCCTCCAGCGACGGCATCCTTTCTTGCCTTTTCTTTACAGCAAAGCACGAAGGAGGTGTTCACATTCTCTGTAACCCAGCCCACATGGGCTTTTTCCCTCATCAGAAAAGTGCTTGTCAAGTCCTCAGTGACCTGCTTGTTGCTAAATCCAGTGGCCAGTTCTACATCATCTCGTGGCCTGGCAACTGCACGGGGCTCAGTTGCTCATGCCACCTTCCTTGATAGCCTTTGTCGTGACACTTATCTCTGCTAGCCTTTTCCCATCTCGCTGTCTTCTCTCTGTGTCTCCTTTGCTGATTCTTCATTTCCCTGACCCCTCTAGGTTGGAGGGGCCCCGGGCTGAGGCCTTGCTCCTCCTCCCTTGTCTATTTGCTTTGACCCCCTTGGTGATATCCTGTCTCTTGGCTTTAAACACTGTCCCAAATGGATGACTCCAGCCTGAGCCCCTCTGCTCATCTCTATCTTATATGTCCTCTGCCTGGTCCACGTCCTCTTGTGTGTCCAGTAGGCATCTCAGATAACTTGTCCACAAATGTGCCCCCTGATCTTTCGTCCTGTGCCTTCACCATCTCAGCTGATGGCAACCCCGTTCTTCCGTTGCCCAGGCCGGAGACCATAGGGTCATCTTTGACCCTTTTCCTGTCACGCCCCACACAGTCTTTCAGGAACTCCTGGTAGCTCCACCTTGAAAAGATCCCCCCGACTCCAGCTGCCTCTCACCACTATCATCTCTTACATGGCTTGTCACAAGCGGTCTCCTCCTGGGTGTCCCACCTCTGTCTTTTGTCTTCTCCATTCATCTCTTCAATACAGTAGCCAGAGTGATCCTATTAAAATTGCAAATCAGTGCATGCCACGCCTGCTTGAAAGCTTACCATGGCTTCTGTCTCCACCTAGAGTCCACACCTGGGCCCTTTACCTGGCCTCCAAGGCCCTCCGGGATCTACTCCTTGTTACCTCCTAGATTTCATCCTCAAGACTTCCCCAGCCTTCTTGTGCCCCTGGAATACGCCAGCATGTGCCCCACTCCAGGCCTTTGCACCCGCTGCTTCCTCTGGCTGGAATTCCCTGTTTCCAGATATCAATGCACAGGGCTCACTGCCTCGCCTCCTTCTGGTCTTGGCCCACGTGTGACCACCTATTGACAATCACATTCCCCCTCCCTCCTATCCCCTGTATCCTTTTTCTCTGCAACTTTTCATTATCTAACATTTCTCTGTATCATAGATGTTAGAGTACACGTTATCTTCACACTATCGTCTCTGAAGTCAAGATGCAGTTTCTACTGGACGGCAGTTCATAGTTTAATTGGCAGCTATTTTTCTTTCTTAGTGATGCATGAAATAATATATGTATTCTTATACCTTTCTCCATTTCTTGTGCAAAAAGTAGCATGTTGTATATCCTGTTCTGTACTCTGCTATTTTTCCCCTTAACAATATAGCCTGCAGAGCTGTCCATATCAGTATCTACAGATAAACATTTAACAGACATTTGGCAAGTGAGTAATCCGATGGATGAATAAGTTAGTGAATGAGTGAGTTATCAGAAATGATTAACGACTAGCCCTTTCTTCCTCCCAGGAAGCTTCCATCTCACCTGGACAGGTATTGTCCATACTTTTCCCAGGAGCCAAATGCCCCGGGACACCTTTCCAGCCCCTGCTTACGCTCTCCCTTTTTACATCTTCAACAGGGAGGCGCCCAGATCAGCCTGGCCGAGGTCTGCCGGTCTGGGGAGAGGTCGACTCGCTGGTACAACCTCCTGAGCTACAAATACTTGAAGAAACAGAGCAGGGAGTCCAAGCCAGGGGGAGCCTTGGCCCCCACCCCAGGGCCTGAAAGCACGGTGAGCTGGGCCTCAGGTTTGCGCCACCCCCCACACATGCAGCACTGGGATGCAAGGAAGGAAAAAGCTTCTCCCAGAAAGGGAGATGTCTGTGCATCAGAGGTGGAAGATATGGAGCAGAGGGGACGGGGAGGAGAGGGTGAAGAGGCGAGGGTAAGAGAGATCTCTGCAAGGGGCCAGTCCCCCATCTGCAACTGCCCCCCTTCCCAGTTGTGCTCACCCTTCTATACTTTGCTTGACCTCATATGAAAACCTGAATTCACGTCATGATTTTTTTTTAAATTAAGTGAAGAAGGAAGGCAACATCTGTGGAAGGTAGAAAATGAACCTTTATTAAGACCCTACTATGTGCATAGTAGTCCATAGTGGAAACTTGATGTAAGAGGCAGAGGAAAGTCATGGGAAGGACAGTTCGAAGACTGACCTGGTGTTTCTTGGGTGATAGGGGTCAATGTTTCACCTCTCTGCACTTCCATTTCTTCATGTTGAATCTATTCGAGTCTAAAAGCATTGTTAGGAAGTTTTGAAGAAGTACAAAGTTTTAAAGAGCACTTGGTAAGGGCTTGATAGACGGTATCTGTTTCATTACTTCTTTCTTGAAAATCTTACATTTGCCTATTTTTGACTGAAAATGTGTATCGTTTTCATTTTAGTGCAGTATACTTTAACCTATAAAACATCCTTAAACTGTTTCCTGCGTTTGGAAAGTCCAAGTCTGCTGGCCAAGTAGACTGGCCAGAACTCTATGGAGCAGTGAAATTGCCCTTGAACATAGAGTGACACAGGGTATGGGATCCCAAATAGTTGGTTGCTGCCCGGAATATCAATGGAGGGGATGGGCTACGTCGCACCAGTAGGGATAAGAGTAAGGATTCAATCTGTTCTCTCCTCTTCCTCCTCTCTTTTCATCATCATCATCATTGTGTGCACTTCCTGTGATGTCCGGCACTGTCCTGTCTGTCCTGCGCCCTTGACCAGGGCTCAGAACGGTTATGTAAGGACACACATCTCCTAAGCAACCAAGCGAGGTCTCAAACCCACTCTAAAAGTCTGTGAACTGGCAACAGTCTAAAAAATAGACCCCTCTACTACCTAGAGCATTGTCTTGCATGAGGGGCACCAAATTTCGGCATGCTAGTGTCCTCATTTCCAATTTCTCAAGGGAATAATCATAACCTCTCCCTATTGGGAGGGTTGTAAAGGTTCAGTAAAATGCTATATCTATCAGTGCCGGCATATACCAGGCCTTCAGTTGACTTCAGTCCCCTCTTTCCTTCCCCAAAAGAAAATTTCAGGAATTACCCAGACTCTGGCCCAGGGTTTTTGCAAATTAACCATATCCTCAGAAAAGGACAAGATCGGTTTTGCTTTGCTACTAGTAGGCATTTACTGAGGGCCAATTATGTGCTAGGCACTGTTCTGCCTACCTTATGTATATATTCCCAATCTTCGTAACCACCCTTTGTGGTAGGTATTAAAGGAAACTTGAGTCTCAGAGAGGTTAAAGCACGTCTTCAAGTCACACAGGCCTTTTCACTCTAAACAATGCTCAGTATAGACCTTCTTCTTCCAGGAAGCCTTACCTGACTACAGCCCCCAAAAAGGCTTTGCCGTCGTTCCTCTATTCCCAAGCATCCATACTTCCCTCTCTCACAGCGCTTCTCACATTGTTTTGTTATTGATGGTTCATGTGATGATCTCCCTGACTACCCTGTGATCTCCTTAACAGCCGAAGACCTATAAGTCTGTCTCACTCAACTGCTGAACTTGGCCGTCTTCCAACACTGCCCACATATACTGGGGTTATTCTCAAGAGAACTGCTAGTTAGGAGAACTAAGTCCTGTATTTCTAATGTATAAGTGATCCTGGGGCAAGACGCTCACCCACTCCAGTCTTCAGTTTTACCCTCAGTTCACGGGGAGGGTCATCCTCTGAGAAGCTCTGATTCTTGCCGGGAGGGGCCGCGTCCGTGGTGTGCAGATGAACCCGTGAGCCCTTGTTTTCACAGGACGCCGTGTCTGCTCTGTTGGAACAGACAGCAGTGGAGCTGGAGAAGAGGCAGGAAGGAAGCAGCAGCCGGACCCTGGAAGACAGCTGGTAAGTGAGCGCTCCCTTGAGCCTCAGGAACTGGTCTGGCTTGGACCTGGGCCTGGGGAAGAGATCCCCAAACACCAGGGCAACCAAGAGACGTGGTCCCCTGGGAAAACTGAGACACTCTCCTCATGGTTTCTCTACAGGTAGCGGTGCAGTATAATAGCCTGGTTGGTGGTTCCCCAAATCCCTTCCCAATTTGTTATTCTGTGTTCCACGAAATAGTCAAGCTAGTTCACATCTAATATTAGTTTCTCTTGATGCACTTACATTTATTTTGGTAAAAAAAGGAAAAAAACTTAAAGACACTTTATATTACTATAAATGGAAAATAAGTATAATTTGCCATAAAATGAAGAGGCCTCAATAAGGAATTGCATTTGACTGCTAGGAACAAAGAGCAGAAGATAGGAGTTTATTTCTTTGTTACTTAAAAAGAGGAAGGCAATCGAAGGCTCATCTGTCAGCTCCGAGATGTTACTGGGAGCCCAGACTCCTTCTGTCATTCTGGTTTGTGTCGTTACTGTGCGGCCTCCATCATCAAGACTGCTTTATAGGCCAAAATGGCTGCTGAGTCACCAGCCATCAGGCAAGCATCAGGAAAGGAAAGTCAAAAGTGCGTCTATGTGCCTTTTAACCAAGGAGCATCCCTGAAGTCCCGCCCAGCATTTTCTACTTGCTTCTGATTGGCCAAGCATAGCCAGTTGGCCTAGCTCACTGCAAGGCAGGCTGGGAAATGAGGTCTGTTGAGCTGAGTACAAAAATCAGGGTTCTGTTACTAAGGAGGAAAGTGGAAATGGATATTGGGTGGGCCATGAGCCAATGAGTCGGCTTCAGAAGGTAACCGTGGACAATTAAATGGAATGAAAATAAAACAAGAGTGTTAAAGTCTAGCTAGATATATGGCTTGCTGCGGAAAGGACTGAAGGAACAGCTGCTGATGAAGAGTAAAAAGCTCACAGTAGACGCTCAATAGATGGTAGAAATTATTATTAGGAAAACAAGAAGGAACACTGCTGACTACGAGCTCAAAAGGAAGAAGGCAGGTTCCATCCAGAAGTTGATCGTTTGGGAGGAGGAAGTATGGTTGGGCTTCAATGCATGTGCTCTGAACTCAGATATAAATTCAGAGTCTAGCTCAGCCAGCTTCCCGTGGAATCCTAGGTCTGGGTGACGCCGGAGCACCAGTACGTTTTCAAAGCCCCCCCCTGGGTGATTCTAATGTGCAACCTGGGCTGAGAACCGTGGTGTGAAACCTCCTTTTGCTCATCTGTGAAATACGGGTTTTAAAAATAGCCACTACACGTGGGTCTTTCGTAGACTCCGTCAAATGATGCTTGATAAGCACTTCACACAGACCCTGACCCACAGGAAGCACTCAGTAGCTCTTCTGTCTTATTCGGTTACAGCCCCAAAGCCTACATTTGGTCTCAGAAGGAGCCTTTCCTTAATCTGTTTTACTCCAGAGGTCAGCAAATGTTTGCTGGAAAGGGCCAGAGAGTATTGTGCATGCCTGCTTTACGGGCCACACAGATTCTGTAGCATTCACTCACTCTGCTGTTTTTAGTGTGAAAGCAGGCACAGACCAAACGCACACCAACCACTGTGTCTCTGTCACCAAAACTTGGATCCAAACTAGGCAGTGGGCTGGATCTGGCCCTCAGGCTGACCTCTCTTTTACACGTCTTGATTCCTCCATGTGATGAAGGGTGTGGCAGGGTGCCTTAATTTTTATATGTTCATTTGTTGGTTTTAGGATTCTCTCTAAAATGTCTCAATTCCTCTCTCCCGCTCCCCGCCTTCTCTATCTCTCTCCCTCGCTCTCTCTCTCTCTCTTTCTAGCACACTGCTGGGCTGGGCTGTGATTCACACAGGCAAAGGTCTGATGCCGGAAATAGGCCCGGGACCTGTCTTCCAAAACCTTGGCACAACATCAGTGGTTTCCCCAAATTCCAAGCTTGTGTTGAGACTTTTCACACCATCGCCTAGCAACCGCCTTCTGTTCTCTCTCCTTTTGTGGCCCCCTCTCTCCGCACCCCTTGCCATTCAAACTCCCCTAGACACTGACTTGCAAAGAGGGCTGGGAATCCCAGCGCGGCTCTACTGGAGTAAATCCGAAGAAGACGGCAGGCTTCTTTGGGGGGGGGGGGAGCATGTTGGCTGGAATGTTAACTAGCCTTGCTGTGCCTGCCCAACCTTGGAGTCATGTGTGCAGGCCCCCAAAAGAGCAGCCCTCTCCGCTAATTTACCCCACTCCCTCAGCACCCAAGGCCCAGGGTGCCATTGTGTCTCCTTCCTTTTTATTTGGTCAGGCTTCTTTAGTGCATATAATCAGAAGGCTGGATTTTTTTTTTTTTTGAGATTCACAGGCAAAACAAAACTCTAAAAGTATTAGACAATAGAGGAGAATATAATCACAGACAACGCTAGCGTGGAAATCCCTGTACTGGCCTCCTTGGGAACGTGTGTTTGTCTAGGACAGATGTTGAGAAGTAGCCTTGTGGAATATTTCTCAAATAAGACGGTGCTAGTAAATGCTCCCACCAGCATGATTATGAGTATCCCCCAAACCTGCTGCCTCTCCGACATTCAGTATAATCCAACTACTGGACTTCCTCGAGACTCTGTCCATGTTTTATTCTGGCAGAGACTGCCAGACGGACTTCAGAGAATCAATTGGCTGCTCTGATTTACGCTCCCCATAGGGCTATGCCTGTCCCCCTCCACCTTCTCCAGCCCTTCAGATCACCAGATATTTCTTCTCATGCTGCTCCAAAGGGTAAAACGATGTTGTCTATTTTAATTATTTTTCTCTTTACAATTGAGATTGATTTTTTTTTCCGGAATTATTTAGATCAGATTCATAATCAAAGGAGGAGGTTTCCATATGGTTGAGCGCTGAGAGGATTTGAACAAACCTGGGCTGGAAACCGGGCTCCACCACTTAGCAGCCCGTGACACGGGACACGGCCTGTCAAATGTCTGATCCTCAGCTTGTGAATCTATAAAATGGAGACAGTAATTACTCACTGCAGGGCTGTAAGGCCTCAGCATAGCACCTGGAGCTTATTAAGCCCTCCGTAAATGCTGGTTAATGTGGCGTCTGCAGAATCCTGGAGGAGGGACTTTTTGCATGTTCCCATGTTTAATGGCTCTTTTATAAGGAGACAGAGAGGCTGCGGGCGCAGCGGAGGGCAGAGCAAAGCCCCTTCCGTAGCCAAGTCCCCCACTAAGTGCAGAGGAGGCTTTAATGGTGGGGTTAGGGGTAGAGATCCAACAGCTCTTCTCCCCACTGAGAAAATCCTAAGGGAGATTTTAGGTTTACCCACAGTCTCACTGAGCCAGCTAACTAGATGTCAGATTTTCTGCTTTTGGCTGGAATTCCTTCTGCTCAGTGTGGTAATGCTGCCTCATGCTGATCAGAAGCCTGGCGGTTATGTATGTCTTTGAGAAGGAAAGATGGGAATAGAGATAGATTACTAATTAACAAACGCGGTCCATTTGTCACACCACTCCTTCCAACCGTGAAGTCCATGGGGAAAGAATAATTATGCAGAATATCACCAAAAGTAAAGCCTCTTCAACAGATGATGCTGGAACAATTGAATATCCATATAGAAAAACAAAAAAAACTTTGAGCATGATGTACAAAAAGACTCTGAAATGGAGCATAGAGCTACACGTAAAAGCTGAAAACTATAAAACTCCTACTAAGAAAATGTAGGAGAAATTCTTTGCAACTTTAGGGTAGGCAAAGACTTCTTAGGTAGGACCTAAAAAGCACAAGCAATTTTTAAAATTGATAAATTGGACTATATCATAATCGAAAGCTTCTGTTCTTTGGAAGACACCATTTTGAAAAGGAAAAATTAAGCCACAGGCTTGGGGAAAATATTTGCAAGGGACTTATATCCAGAATGTATAATGAATTCTTACAACTCAATAATAAAAAGACAGCCCAGTTTTTAAATGGGCTAAAGATTCTAGAAGACACTTTGCAAAAGAAAATATAGAGATGGTCAATAAATGCATGAAAAGATTGTCAGTGGGAAAGTGCAAATTAAAACCACAGTGAGACATGAGCACACACCCTGGAGAATGACTAAACTTAAATACTGGTAATACCAAGTCTAGATGAGGAACTAGAATTCTCATAGCATTGCTGATGGGAATGTAAAGTGGCGTAACCACGTTGCAGAACCAGTTTGTCGGTTTCTTAAAAGTATAAACTTATACGTACTGTACGACTCAGCAATTCTACCCCTAGATATGTATCTGTTATGGTCTGAATGATGCCCCCTGCAAAATTCGTATATTGAGGCCCTGACCCCAGGACCTCAGAATGTGACTGTATTTGAACATAGAGCTTTTAAAAGGTGATTAACTTAACATGAGGTTGTTAAAGTTACAGTGGGCCCTAATCCAATAGAGCTGGTATCCTTGTAAGAAGAGGAAATTTGGACACACAGAGGAACACCAATGACGGGAAGACCATCTGAGGACACAGCAAGAAGGTAGTCATCTGCAAGCCACAGAAAGACCTCAGAGAGGTCTCTGAGAAAGAGAGACCTGCCCACACCTTGATCTTGGGCTTTTAGATCTATGAGAAATATCTGTTGTTTTAAGCCACCCACTCTGGGGTGTTGTGTTATGGCATCCCTAGCAAAGTGACACAGTATCCAGGAGACATGAAAACCTGTATCTACACAGACCTGTAGGTGAAGGTCTGTAGAAGCTTTTTTTCATAATGCTAAGAAATGGAAACAATCCAAACGTTGATCACCTGATGAACAGCTAAACAAACTGCGGCCTTCTCCATCCAATGGAATATTACTCAGCTGCAAAAAGGAGTGAACTATTGATACAATCGCCAACATGGATGAATCTCAGAAACATTATGCTGAGAGAATGAAGCGTATACTGTCAGATTTCCATTTATATGAAATGCTGGAAAAATCAGATTTCATCTCTAGTGACAGAAAGCTGACCAGTGCTGGGCTGGGGGTGGAGGGAAATTAACTGAGAAAGGATATAAGGGAGCCTTTCTCTGGAATGGCTCATGTCATGAATGTGACGCTGGTCACAGAAGAATACATTGCTCAAAACTTGGCACACTATACACTGAACAGGTGTTTTGCTGTATGTACATTATATTTCACTAAAATTGATCTTTTTTTCCTTCAAAAACATGTCCTAAAACGTCCTGGAAGCCCTTCCCTGGGCGCATTTAAAGGCAGGTGAGTGGATCAGAGCAGTCTCTGGGTGGGTAACCAAAGTTCTTTGTCATCACAGGAGGTTTGAGGAGGAAACCAGCGAAAACGAGGCAGCAGCAGAGGAGGAGGAAGGAGAGGAGGACATTTTCACCGAGAAGTCCTCTCCGGAAATGGATGAGTGCCCAGCGGTAAAGGTAGGGAGGGCTAGGGAGATAAGAAAGGCTGTCTTAGGGAAGTAAGCGTCAACCTTTGAGCCCAGGCAGTTAGGAAAGGCTCAGCACTAAGCCTTGTCCTCCAGCTTCAGGGGACAGGCCCTTGGAAGGGGTGACCGGCAGAAGGTGTAAATCAGTGTCGCTGCCTATACTTTGGCTCATTTTGGTGACAGTAAACCAGGGGAGGCGGACTCACCCCTCCTGTCTCCTGCTGCGTGCAGTTCTCCTGTGTCTCTGGACAGACCTCTATCTAGCTTTGCAGTCAGATGGTTCTGGGTTCAAATGCTGGCTCTGCTACTCCCTAGCTGCGTCATCTTAGGCAGGTGACTCCATCCCTCTTGAACCTTCATTTCCACATCTCTAAACTGGACTGAGTAATGCTCACCTTGCAGACAGGGTCTAAGGAGTGCATTTCTTCATTTGGGTTGGCCTACAGTGCACCTAGGAGAAGGGAGTCCAGTCAGGTTCCCCTTGGCCCCTGCTTCACTGCTGCACTGTGACGTGTTACAACAGGACTCACTCCCCACGGAGATCTCTGCAGGGCTCCTGGAAATAGAGCCCCCCATTGTGTCCGTGCAGGGCTCCTGGGGGCGGAGCTGCAGGCATTGCACAAACGCTTGGCCAGGTGCACCTGGCCAAGCGGGATGAGAGAAGAATCCAGGGCTGCCCGCTCCACACCAAGGGGGAACCTTTTTGCAGCTGTTCCAGTCAAAGGGAGTGCCTTTTTCGAAGTTACGCAACGGCACTGTTAAGGCAGACAGAGGCCCTGCATTTAGGTGTTTCTGTTTGCTTATCTTTTACTGGTGACTACTGTGAAAAGGGCGGTAGAAAACCTAACCACCTAGTTTAAGAAAGAGATTTGCTGCTTGCCTCCGTAGTTCCAAGAAAACATCAGTGGTTCTTGGCTGGGGCAGTGGGGGCCTTGGTTGTGGCTTTGTCAAAATGTGCCTGGCACATAAGTCTTAAATATGTGAAGTCCAGGACACCCGTGTTTGCGGTGCCTCTGCTACTCACCTGAGCTTGCTTGGGGACTGAATATACCCCAGCTAGCCCCGGCTCACAGGTAATATGGAGGAATAGCGGCCAGCGGCACTGGGGGCCTTAGGCTATGTCCTGCTGAGCAGGGCTGGGGCCAAGGAAGCTCCCAGCTCTGTCTGTGGGACAAAGGTGAGGTGACAGGAGTGGGAAGCAGCTGGGGAGTCTTCTCCATGGGTCTCAGGTTGGGTGGCTGAGACTCTGCGGTTATTGGTGGCCTCAAAACTGTGGTGGCTTCTTCCTCAGGTGGACAAAGAGACCAACACAGAAGCCCCGGCCCCATCCCCCACAGTGGTGCGGCCCAAGGACCGGCGGGTGGGCACGCCGTCTCCAGGGCCATTTCTTCGAGGAAGCACCATCATCCGCTCCAAGACCTTCTCCCCCGGACCCCAGAGCCAATACGTGTGCCGGGTAAGCAAATAGGTGGTTCTTTCCTTGTCCAGAGCACCTGCTTCCTGAGGGGTAACTGAGAGCCTTTAGCCTCACACAGTTCTGGGTGCAAATCCTGATTACTCACACGTTGTCAGGTAACCTCAGGCAAGCTAGCACCTCTGAGCCTCAGTTTCCTCATGTGCAGTTAATGGGCCAACTTTATAGGGTTGTTTGAAGGATTGACTTAGATCAAGTATGGGAAAGGCTCGGTAACCAGTACGTGGCCAATATTATTATAATTCCAACCAACTCTCCCCTCCTCCTCGCTCACGCCCTGCCCTGCCACTCAGCTACTTGCTGAGATCAGACTGACCCGTCACGGTCCCTGAGGGAACATTTCTTCCTCACCTCCAGGGTCATCAATCCCGGTGTGCAGGTTACGTAATGGCAACAGACGTGTATCTACTGACAGGTTGTTTGTCTTTTAATTTGATATTGTTGCTAACATTGAAAACTTAGGAAAGGCTATTAAAGATAAAAGAAAAATGGAACGATTTCACGCAATTTCAGTTTCTCTTGAAGAAAAGGGATGGTCTGGCACCACGGGCCACGCATTCTCCCCCGGAGAGAGAACTGCTGGCTGGAGCTGAGCAGCTGGTGCAGCCACCCTTGGGTGATTGGAGGGGAGGGTGCTTTCAGGTTCGCTCTGGCCCCCCGGCCCTATTTACCTATGGGGTGCCAACCAGCTCTTGCAGGCCCCCTGACATTTAGAAGCCCTGCTACCCAGGTAGTTTCCCCCGCTTCCTAGACCAGCCCACTCTTTTTATTGTATCGTGAATAGAGCGCTTAACATGCGTCGGGGCGTCATGCTGGTTGCTGGGACAAAAGAACCAGACCCCGTTCCTGACCTTCCTCCGGGGTGGCACAGATGTGACACATGTACGCCTTACCTTAGTCCTGGGTGCAAGTGATGTGTCAACATCCAATTTTCCCTCCCGCCAACACAGAACCAGTGAACAGTAACTAGATGTGTCAGCAGAGCCTTCCCGCCTCATGTTCCAATAAGGCATCGCAGGAGGAGAGGCATACTGAGGGGGCTTCTCAATATCAGATATTCAGTATCCAAGGCCTACAAGTATAAGATTGAGTAGAGGACCTAATGTCTTCAATATGTGAAAATTTCACTCATTTACTGGCTACTTATCAAATTAGTCCCCACAAAAATAGTCCCTGCGGTGCCTCCCAGAAATACCATAAACCCCTCCCTTCTGTGTCAAGTCTCAAAAGAGCTAATTGTTTAAGCTTGTAAGCATTTGAACGGGCAGTGAAAGCACAGTGCACGTTGGCTGCCTGTCTTGCAAAAGGTACGGGGTTTTCTGAAGTCAGTGCTTGTGACTTTGACACTGGGGATTTCCGAATCACAGTCAAAGAATCCTGCAGTTAAGCCAGCTCACAGCTCAAGAGGAGAAAACCCCAGTCCCTGTTTCAGATGTATTTTAAAGGATTTAGAAAAGCCCTTAGGATGATGAATAAAACCCTCTGTTTGGGGCAAAATTACCGCCTTTATGAACACACAGTGGAAATCAAATACCAAGTGAGGAATCTTATGAAAAAAAAAAAATCACACCAAAAGAAGTTAGTGTTTGATTCATTCTTTTTCATCAGGATTAGCATGCAGTTGTTAAGTTTGTTAAATAGAAGACATAAAACACAACTTGGTAACGTGTCTTTCTTTTCCAACTAAAGACTTAAAACTTCTCCCTCTCCAAAATTTGCTATAAAATTCTGGTCCCCTGTTGAAATGGATTCACTTTACGTGGCCCTTTTCTAGGAATGGTATCCCCAAATAACCAGGAGCTTGGTCCTATTTATTAAGCATCTCTAGCACGCCTATACCACGCTGAGTCCTCACCGTATTTTATCATCTGGACCAGTTTCCAACCCTGCAAGGCAGCAAATTAAGAAATTCCCGGGGCAGTTGCTCTTTTCCTGGCCTGCCCGCTCCCACTATTTTGGGAGTGTACTATCTACTTTTCATTTAATATGCTTTCTTAGCTTTAAAAAAAAAAAAGAAAGAAAGAAAGAAAAGAAATTCCCAGCCAGCGTGGATCATATGCCACAGGCAGGGAGGGCTTTTCTTGGCAAAGCCGTGTATTTTTCCTTCCTAGCTTTCCGACTAGACCCCCATCAGCCCAAGCTTACCCCTTTCTTTTGCAATCTTACTGAAAGCTACAAGAAGTAGTCAGTGGTACAACATCCGGAATTTCTTCCCGTCTTTCACCCTAAAACTCCTTAGTCATGCAACGTGTCTCCCGAGATACAACAGGTAACAATTTAACTCACCCCTTCCTACCTCCAGCTCCATGTTTTCCAGTCGGATATGTCACTCCACTTCCTAGCACCAAATCCTGTGCTACTAGTCAGGGTTCTCAACGACAGGCAGCAGAACCAGACTGGGGTCAGGAGATGCGGGAAAGACATTTTTGGAAAGGAAATTCAGTAGCTCATATTTTCATCAGAAGGCTTAGAACCAGCCTCAGAAATCAGGTAGAAACAAGGTGGGCCAGACCACAGCCGAAATCATACCACAGAGACAATCAGGTGAGGACATCGCCCGTGCTGCTGTAGCACTTGGCCCCAGCTGGCCCCACCGCTGGCCCTGGGCTTCAACACCGATGCCTCCACCAGACTCCTGCCACTGCAGGAGGTCACAGCTCTGGGCGCTGCCGCTGCCGCTACCTGCCACTAATGGCTTCTTCCTGAGATACCGGCGAACCTGGCATGTGGGTGGAATGAGGGTGACCTGGGGAATCCGAGAGGCTTGGTAACGGAGAATCAGGTCCAGCTTACCAGGCTGTGATTCAAAGACCGTGGCAGCTGCATCTAATTGTCAGAGTCTAGTCCTGTGCTTGCTTTTAGCTGAAAGGGAAGCCACCCAAACGAGACTGTGCCTCTGGCTTCATTCGTGAGAGGTGGGCTTTGTCTCCCCCTGTGAGTCATAAAGTGGGGATCCTATGGACGGGGTTTCAAATGCTAATTAGCAACTCCCCTCCTTCCCCCCAAAAACAACTATTTTCTGTGTCATCTAATCTTACAAACAATCCTGGAAGGCACATCACATTAATCCCATTTCATAGATGCAGAAACTGAGACTCAGAAAATGAGAGCACTTTATTCTCGGTCTAGAGCTACTAAGTGCAAAGCCAGGGGTCTGACTCCAGGGCCTTCAGCCTTTATATTACTTAGAGCCACCTCCTGAAGGACTTCTCTGCCCTCCTCCAGTCCGAATACAAGTAACTCCTTCACCTGGCCTGAGCCACACCTTTGCCGGGTGCCTCCCTCCTGTGCGATTCAGCATGGCCTGTGTCACTTGGTTAGTGTCCTAGGCTTGGGCCCCCACTGAACTCCAAGTCCACGAGAGTAGGGAAAATGAATTGCACCCCCTACAGCTGTCCACAACCCCTGTGTCTTTAAAACCTCCGTATTTATCGGCAGTGCTGTCTCATATGCTGGTTGGCTCACCTGATGGATACAGTCGCTCTAAAATTCTCATTCCTGGAATAGCTCCCTGTGGCTTTCAGTTTATTTCAGTTTCCCTCCTTATTCCATGGAAATAATAACAAGGCAACACTATATTCTACCGTATTTGAGATTAAATGCATTACAATATTTTATGTAAAGAAACAAAAAAAAAAAACCTGTTAACTTCAAGGACTTAATGTAGTTTTCTTCACTCTCTTATAACATGGTCTTTAATACAAATGACTATGACTTAAGGATCAAGTGTCTGATTCTGCAAGTGCCACCTTTGGATTGAAGCAATGCAGAATAAAGTGCCCTTCCGGTATGGTATCCAGTCCATTCGTACGAATTCACCCCTGTCAAAATGGTCCACCCTTCCGTCTGTACATTAGTTTCATCTCTGAGCCTCGTGTGCATCCTGGGGGCCGGGAGAGGACGTGGCCTTGGAGTCAGATTGGATGTTGAACTGTCATTCTGATAGTCACCAGCTGTACTACTTGTAAAAGTGTCTTAAACTCTCTGACCCTCCATTAGGATTGTTCGAGGATTAAATGAAATCATCAGTAAAGCACATGGCACCTAGTAGGTGCTCTGTCCACGTGGCTGTAATTATCATTACTATTCTAGTTCTGGCTCTGGTTGAGACTCTGTCTGGCACAGTAACTGTTTCATCAGTTGTGTATGCCCCCCTGGGGTGACTGACTGTTCATCAACATAGCAGGACTATTGATATCATTATCACTGATAATTATTAATAACCACAAAAATGATGACACACAAACAGCTTCTCAAGAGAGAGATGCAGCAGTGAGCTGACAGCTGCCAGAGCAGACAGGCCCTGTAGCAAATGCCTGTGGGGATCCCACTGACTTGGAAAAATGTGCCTCAAGAATGAAGCTCCTACGCCACACGTCCGGGGATGTGCTGTCATCCCAGCCTCCCTCTCCGGTCCTCCTGTGGGGGACACGCACACTTGGTAGAAAAGCATCTCCCCGGACCACAGCCTTGATCACTGGCCATGGATAGAGAACGTCAGCTTTCTAGGGAGGGTACAAATAAGCAAAGGATTGAAGGGATTCTGAGGAGGGGAGAGCTGCAATGGGCACAACCCTCACCCAGCCTGTCTACCCATTTTCTCCAAGGATACCACCCCTGAGGCTTTGCTATTGTGCTACATTTATATATATATATATATATGTCAATCTTGACAGTGGCTCCATTTCAGCCATAAAGGGTGACAGGGAAGAGTCGACGCAAAGAGGACTTTTCATGGTGGGTCAAGGGGGCAGTACACCCTGGAGTCTCACTATGCTGCCACCTGCTCGCCAACGTGGACAAGTCCTGTAACCTCTAAGCCCCTATCTCCTCCTCGGTAAAATGGGGGTGCTTCTGTCCCACGCAGTTGTTGGAAGGATTAAATGAGATGTCACACTTATAGCATGTAGCAGCATGCATTGTGCTGAGTACGTGCTCAATAAACTTTCATCTAGACAGAAAAGGAGGTTCAGAATGAAACCTGCCTCCTGCAGTCCCCACGGAACAGGAACTCGGGATGTTTGCACAGGAGAGCAAGGACTAGGCCGAGCCGGGGGAAACACCACCCTCTGGCCCCAGTGTGCCTTCCGAATGCACTTGGACCTTAACTCCCATGACTTTTTTTCTTGTAGCTGAATCGGAGTGATAGTGACAGCTCCACACTGTCCAAGAAGCCACCTTTTGTTCGAAACTCCTTGGAGCGGCGCAGCGTCCGGATGAAGCGGGTAAGACAGAGTGCTGAAAGGCATTTGTACACCTGCTCCCCCCAGGCACACCCCCTGACGCCCGGCTGTTTCTCCTCAGCCACGGGTTTTAAGAAAGCCATTCTTGCGATTGTGATGGTGTTTGAGAATGGAAGTTTGTGAACCGTCAGGCCTGTGTAGGCCCTGGGGAAGGTACCAAAGGGTAAATGTAACATTATCATCATGACGAATAGGTGAGATCAGGTGTATGGCTTCCTGGGTAGAAATCCAAGTCACTAAGAACTAACCAACCCAAGATGTCACGATCACCGATGGGAGCCTGCCTCTCACAAGACTCTGCTCAGTGTGTTGTCCAACTGACTGAGTTTGGTTAAAGCCCTGACAGCCCTCCCTGAGGGCATAGAAGCCAGGCACTCCCAGCGTCTACCGGAAGCAGGGAGGCATGAGTGGGCTTCTCCCAGCCCAGCTGGAAACACACAGAAGAGGCCACAGCTGTCCCTGTAGAGAAATCTCACCTTTCCTTATGGAGACTTGGCCGAGGGGTTGGGGTGGGATGGCGTTAGGCAAAGGACTGACCCCTGATAGGGACCTTTAGCAGCCAGGCTGCAGGAGACACAGAGGGCCCTCCCCTCTTTGTGCTTTTAACACAGACTTTACAACAGTTCTGGTGAGTTTGCAGAACTAGAAGAAACCAAAAGCCAGAATGTCAGACAAAGAAGTAGAGCAAAGGGAAAGGAGAGCGTGCTGACGGCCCCACGCAGGGAAAGGCCGCTCCGTGTCTCTTGCAGACCTGCTGCTGACGGCCAGAGTCAGGAGTTGTCCTTTGTCGATCAGCACCCCTCCCCCAAATCTCCAAGAAGAGCTAGAATGAGCAGGAGAAGGCAATGTGGGAGAGGGTGCATAGGAAAAGGAGAGAGTGCTGGCTGTGGGAGAACATGGACAGGCGCAGGGTGACAGGGATGCCGACTGTCCACTCTGGGTCCCCACCCGTCTCCTGTGGCTGGCTGGTGCTGCAGAGCCTCCTGGGGAGCTCTGGAAGATGCACACTCCAAGGCCACGCTCCAAGACAGTTGCATTCAGCAGCTGGGGTGGGGCCCTGGAAACTGCATTTTTAACAAGCTCCGGGAGAAATGCCACTGCAGAAGTTCCCCCTTCCTCACCTCCTTTCCCCATAGCCAAGGGGATGACTTCCTAAGGGAGCCTTTGATGGTGGGTCTGAGCCCACGTTTCCGCATGCCTAAACTACACCCTGAGGAGCAGGAGAGTCCAGAGGCCGGGCCGAGGCCCTGGACGCTGCCATCCTTCCGCTCACTGCCTAAGCTGCGCCTCCGTCTGCTGTGGGCAGGTTTCTAAGATAGGACATTGGTCAGTGCCAAGCAAAAGAATCTTCACTTCTTGCTCTGAGAACTGGAGCCACGTAGATCCTCAGCGGGGTTTCCTGACCCTGTTCATTTATGAGCACAGACTAGACAATGGCCCGACAAGCCTTCTAGAACTTCTACACGGAGCTGTTTCATGTTCCCGGAAGTATACAGGTCGGCCTTAAGAGGGGGTCTCAGAGTAACATTTTATATACCATTTCGCAAATCCCTTTTTTGGTCATTGTATTTGTTTTCTGTTGCTGCATCCCAAGTTACCACCAACTTAGCTTAAAAGCATATGAATTCATTATCTCACAATGTCCACGGGTTGAGTTCAGGCTAGCTGGATCCTCTGCTCGGAGTCTCAGCAGGCTGAAATCTAGTCTGTTGACTCACTGCATCCTCATCTGGAATTTTGACTAGAGAAAGATTCCCTTCCTGGCCCCCTCAAGGCATTGGCAGGATTCGTTTCCTTGCGTCTTCTTGCTAGTTGCAGGCCTGGGGCTATTCACAGCTCCTACAGGTCACTCTCAGGTCCTTGACATGTGGCCCTCGCCACAACATACATTGCTTCAAGGCCAGGAGGAGATTTCTCTCCAGGAACAGCCCAGTTCATCTTTTAGGGGTCACCTGATTAGGTCAGGCCCACCCGGGATAATCTCCATTTTGATTAACTGGGAGTCACCTGATTACTTACCTAATCATGGGAGTGATATCCCATCATATTCATAGGTCCCACCCACACCGAAGGGGAGGGCATTATACAGGTTAGGGGCAGGCTTAGAATTCAGCCTCCCATAGCCATTTAGTTCTTTTTTCAATCATTACTGGGTTTTAGTAGGAGAAGGAGAGTTAATGGCTCTATTACTCAGGACTTTTGCATACAGAAAACTGAAGAACTCAAACACAGCTTGAAAATGACTGGGGGGAGGGGGACGGGTATTTATTGGCTCATTGAATGCAAAACTCCAGGATGTTGGACTAGTTTTAGGCATGGTTTAATCCAGGATTTGAAAGAATGTCATCAATCCTGAGATCTCTCCACATAGCTTAATTCTTAAACAGGTCACCCCGTTTGATGATAAAGGTTTATATCTTGCCGGCTTAACAATCCCTGTGTAAAGGAAGACATTGCCTTTCAGCTCAGCAAAAGTACCAGAATTGAGTATTGTTGGCTGGCCTTCGATAACATCCTCACCCCCAAAGCAGTCACTGCAATTCTAATTGGCCCTGTTGGTGTCACATTCTTCTCCCATACGCACTGGGTGTGAGGAAGAACGGATCCCCAAGGGAAAATAAGGGTGCTGTTACTACAAGACTGGGGACATCGAGGCTGCCTGGACAAGCAGCAACAATAGATGTCCATGACAGGGACACCACGTCAGGAAGACTTGACTTCTGTTCTCGAGGGGAAACAGATCTGTATTGAGGAAACAGCTGGAGAGCAGGATAGAGACAGGAGTGCAATGACAGAGTGTGAATGTTGATGGCACTGACAGTAGGGACCTGGGCACGTGTGGGGAGTGAGTGAGTGGGGTCTGGAACCAACTGCCTGGGCTGGACTCAGCTTTACCACTGATAATCTGTGTGACTTGACCTCCAGGAGCCTCATCTGTGCAGTGGCAGCAGAGGAGGCCTTATAGGGTGGAGAAAAGGAATGGAGGTAGTGGGAGAAAAGCACCTAGCACCGTGCCTGGGACATAAAAGTGCTCAATAAACATGAGCCGTACAAGTGGGAAAAATCAAGACAGGTTGGGGGCGGGGGTGGAGGCGGGTATTTGAGGTTCCGAGGAGGGGGTCACGTGGGCTCACTAGTCCCCGCCTCCGCAGCCTTCCTCCTTCAGATCCCTGCGCAACGAGCACCTGATGCGCACCTCGCTGGACCTGGAGTTAGACCTGCAGGCCACGCGGACCTGGCACAGCCAGCTGACGCAGGAGATCTCGGTGCTGAAGGAGCTCAAGGAGCAGCTCGAACAAGCCAAGAGCCACGGAGAGAAGGAGCTGCCGCCGTGTCTGCGGGAGGATGAGCGCTTCCGCCTGCTGCTGCGGATGCTGGAGAAGCGGGTAAGTGCCGCGGGAAAGGCGAGGGAGGCGGCGCCAGGCTGCAAAGGAGAGAGGCCCCAGCTTTGACTTTGAACGGGTCCTGCCGTGCTGAGCCCCACAGAGAGAGCAGGTCCCTCGTTCCCGTCAGCAAAGGGATCCCTTGGCTGGCCCATTGCTGGAGGCCCTGAGGATGCGCCACAGCCTCATGGCTTCGCCGGCTTCGCCCTCCAGGTGGACCGAGCAGAGCACAAGGGTGAGCTTCAGACAGACAAGATGATGAGGGCAGCCGCCAAGGATGTGCACAGGCTCCGAGGCCAAAGCTGTAAGGAGCCCCCAGAAGTGCAGTCTTTCAGGTAAGCACGCGGGCAGCCAGCCGCCAGCCGGCCCGCCTTTCCCTTTCGCATCCAGCCTCAGGCTTCTCCGTCTCACTGCTCGCTGTCCCATGCTCCCGTCTCCAGCAGAGAGCACCAGCGCTGTCTGTAACATGTCCATCCTCTGCCGCGCCGTCCCTGGCGGTCTGTGCATTCAGCAGTGCTCCCCCTCGGCTGTCTTTCTCCATCCCCACACAACTCGAGCTAATTTGTCAGATCCTCTTGTATAATGAACGAGCCACCTGCCCCCAGCCTCTCCTCTTAGCATGTCATCACCCGTAATTGTGGAGGATTGGCTGAATGATAAATAAGCCGGAAGTGATGGATACCTGCCGGGCCCCCCGGCTCTGCCTGCCGCCTGCCAGGATCTCAGGGAGGCGCATTCTTGCTGCGCTGGACCCAGGTGTTTCACAGGAGGGCCCCCAGTACCATTCTTCCAGTCCTCCCATCCACACAGGGCCTTGTGTTTAGACTCGCGATGTCCTCCCAGATAAGGCTAAAAAAACATTCCTTTGTGGTAAATAAACATTTCAAATACACTGTCATTTATATAACCATGTTTGGACATCTAATTTTTAGCCAAGTAGGGCTCTAAAACAAACCAACACTAGACGTGGCCCTACGGTCCTTTGAAACTCAGAGAGGTCCCTGATTTGAACTAAAAGTCACTGGTCCTGCTAATGCCCCCTAAAGCGGTGCTTCTAAACCAGGAATGATTTGGGCCACCCCAGGGACATTTGGCAGTGTCTGGGGACATTTTTGGTTGTCACAACTAGAAGGAAGAGTGGGGGAGCTTCAACTGGCATGTAGTGGGCAGAGGCAGGGCTGCTGCATATCTCTCAATGCACAGGGGGCCCCCACAGCAAAGAATGGTCCTGCCCATGGTATCTCTAAAGCGAGGATGGAAACTCCTGCCCTAAATGGATGGCCTCTTTTACAGGGAGAAGATGGCATTTTTCACCCGGCCTCGGATCAATATCCCAACCCTCTCTGCAGATGACGTCTAATCGCCAGAAAAGTATTTTCTTTGTTCTCATGACCACGCTGTGAACGTAGACTGTGGCTGAAGTTATTTATGTGGTGTTATATGAAGGTACCGAGTCACAAGTCCTCTAGCGCTCCTGTTGGTTTGAAGATGAACAGATTTTTTTAGTTTGGGTTCTATTATTATTAAAAAACAAAAACAAAAAAACCAGCATTAAAATGACAAGATTGTATAGTTTGTATATTTAGGAATGTATTTTTGAGAAAGAAAATTTAAATGAATTAAAGCAGTGTGAAGTCGCTGCTCTTCTTAAAATAAAGTTGTTTAGATTTTTCCTTTTTTTTTTTTTGTACAGCTCTACCTTCTAGAGGTTTCACTGCAATAAGTAAGTAATGTTTTGGGGACGGTAATCCTCAAAGGACGTCCTCCAGATATCACAGCACAGCTGACCTTTCCTACTTAACATATTTTGTACACTATTTTAAAAATGCACAGGAACTGTTTGGGGGATTCTGGGGTGCATCCGTGAGTCTTCATGAGCTGTGATGTGTTTTTCTGTGGCCTCCTGTTGTGGAGTGGGCTGCGTGGAGCTGGCCACAGGCCTGCCCACACCGGTCTCAGATGCCCAGTGAAGCCACTGAAGTGAGTGAGGGAGGGCTGCGGAGAATTCCTTTCCGTTTTATCTCCATCAATAAAGTGGCCTTTCTAAACGAATTTCCTCTCTCTTTTTCTCCCCGACCCCTCACTTCATCTGTTTCTCTGATTTTTTTACTCTTCCCCTTCCCAAGCATTTCCTTCCCACCCATCCCCAGCCCAGTCCAGGTGATGTTTTGTTTGGTTTTGGGTTCTTGCCCACCCTTCCACTGAGTTGCTCATTAAATGAAAACGGCCGCTCAGCTGTGACTATTGCAGACAGTTGGAAGCCAACCTTTAACGAACAAGTGGCAAAAATCTCTTCCTCCTTTTCTCTGACATTGTCCTGTGTAACTTTCCTCAAAGTATGTTGGATCACCTGCCACATCAGAATCACCTGAGGCAGCTTGTTAAAAACACTGACTCCTGGACCGTCCCCCAACCAGGATGGGCTCAGAGACCTGCCTTTATCCATGCTCCTGCTGTCAGTCCTGTGCACACTGCAGCATCTGATGGACCCACTAGTGTAATGTGGATGAAGCCCACACAGAGGTGGAAACATTCTATTAGAGAGTCACACAGGGGACACCGACATGCAGGCCGCTGAGGACCAGTGGGGGAGGCCCCTTCACTTGGCTATGGAGGCTCTCCTCCGCCTCCCCACCACATTGCTTACCTGGCTGTTTCTCCTTATAGGAGGAACCTACAATGGTGTTGATGCCACCATTACTCCCCACGTGGCTTCCAGGGCTTTCGATAGCCAGGCCTCCCTCCAACTATCCAGTCCAATTTCGCACCATCCGCTTGGATTCCTCTTTCCTCAGGGTGTCACTTTTCTAAACACACCAGTGTCTGGCGCACTCTCTCTCCTTTGTGAAATTCCATTCCACACGTTGAGGGTTGGCTTTGCATTTTCTTCAAATATCAACGTCCCCAATCAATTGGCAATACGTCCAAAAGCAGAAGTATTGTGTCTCGCGCTGCTCCTGTGCACCCTAATACCTGCACAGCTCAGAGTTGGACATCTGCTGCCCTTGTTGACCCTGCCCATCTGTTAAGGGCAACTGCCGCAGCGATGGAGCAGATGACCCAAACTGGGCAGTCAGAGTGACCCATCCCATTAGTCTACGAAGGATAGACGTGGGATCCCAGCTGGGCCAATCAGAGCCCTTCCCCTGCATTTTTCAACTAAAGGTTGGAGGCTGGATTTTCTCTTCCAAAAGCCACCTGTAGCCATGGTTCCAGCTTCTGGGGCCAACTCAGCAGAGAGACGCAGATATAAGTAGTGGGGAAAGATCGGGCGATCTTGGGGTCTGAATTCATTGACACCAAAGGTTGGCTTCATCCTCGCTCTGTGTAATCTGTGGTGAACTGTGTCAAGAGTGCTCAACAAAACTGGAAGGTCATGTGATGGGATTTTTGCTCAATCACACCTCTATCTGTGTTCAGCTTTCCCAGCAAGGGTCAGGCCCTCACAACTCCGGAGCAGCAGCTTCTGTGAAGTAGGGCTCTAAACGGCCTCCGTGTGTGTGGAAGAGGCTACATGGAGCAAATCCTCCTGCCTGAGAAGTGTGTCTCCGTGTCGCTTCAGCTGACGGAGCATTTGTGGGGAGACTCAGACCCTCTTCAGAAGAAGGTCGTCTGTCTCCCATGGCATTGAATGCTCTATGAACAGTCCTTGGCCAAGCACCAGTTCACCCGTTGTTGTTTGCCTGGCAAGAAATGCAAGAATAAATAAACTTTCAGTCGTCATCATGTGCATGTGTTTTCCAGAATCTTCAGGAAACTGGAACTTAGAAATGTGAAAGGACCTGCTCAAGGTCCCTCAGATAATCAACAGCCAGAGCCAGAATGCACAGCCTGTCTTCAGACTCCCAAATTTTTCTTTCAGCTCTAGTTTCTGTTTCACAGCAATGTGGTCACGTGGGGACTTGGAACATTTGGTTTTCAGGAATGAAGTCTGAAATCCTGTGGTTTCTTTGCATGGGGGTATGGCAAAAGGGCGTGACTAGGATACTAGCCTGAGAAAAGACCCTCGGAAACCTCACTGGGTCTGATTGTCCATAAAACCAACGGTTGCCTTTTGACTACAAATCTTTTGCAGCGTGCACACTGGCTACCTTTTTGCTTCCTGCCTCTAAGAAGGCTAGCAAGTGAGATTTGTCTGGTTAACTGCCAATCAGACTCCAGCCATGCTCATCTTTTTTTTTTCTTCATTCCCACCACAGAGCCTTTGCAATTGTAGTTCCTTCTGCCTGGCACACGCTTCCGCCGTGTCTTCATGCCACCTTCATATGGACCTCTGTTTATCACTATTCAGATCTCAGCTCAAGCCTCACCTGCTTGGAGAGCCCTCTTGACCCTGACCCTGGGCCGCCCCATCCCACTTACCCTCCCACAAGTCACTCTGGCGCCATAACCTGATTTGGTGGCTTCAGAGCACTGTTCCCTAGTCTGTCTCTTCCCCCTACAATGTAAGACCTTGAAGCAGCGACCTTGTGTGTCTTGTTTTCTGTTGGACTTGACAAAGAATGGGTGCTTAATAAACATTTGTGGGATGAATGAATGAGATTAAATGTCTGCCCCAGAGATGGGTTTAGTGCCTTCTCCTTTGTAATTACCAATCGGGAAAGGTTCTGGATGGAATGGGAGAGCTGAGGGCTTCAGTTTTGCCAATCTCTCCACCACTGTCCATACCCAATCCCCCTCCTGTTTTCACATAAATTTAGTTTCTGCTTCATGCAATTTGCATTTGCTACCTCTGCGCCTAGAACCCTCCATTCAATGAAGAAACAACTTTTGAGTAATGTGCTGTGACAAGCTCCACTCTAGAACGTTCTTCCAAGCCAAACTATAAGCACCCCGGAGTGTAGGAGAACATTCCAAGGGGTCTGTGGGCCTGGAAACATTATGGGAATCCACTTCCTGATCCTGAATTTTTATATACTCGTACTCTTTCCTAAAACTGATTTGCCTGCCAACTCCGTCGCCCAATTCTCTTTTTACATCTCCCTTTCTGCAAGGAAAGGCATAGCAACTTAGGTGTAAATTAACAGGAGCTAAACAAGGTGCTCCAAGAATGTCTTTCTCCTGAGGGTGACTCCTTGAGCACCAAGCAAAGGGTACTTAGTAAGAAGATGACCCTTACATTCTGCTTTATCTTGAAGGTAGAGATGTATCTGTCCATCAATTTGTCCATCCGCCAACTCATCCATTCCTCCTTCCATCCATCTTTCTCTCAGAATTAAGAAATGAGAAGGTGTCGTGGAGACATATTAACACTTTTATTTCGTTTAAAAGTTAAAAATAAAGGCAAACTTTTAAATTAAAATCTGATTTGGATTATTTGATTTGACAGAGGACTAGCTTTGCCAATTAATTAATATGGTAGATATTTTCCATAAATTGGATGAGCTAAATTTGCAGCTCCACAGTTTTGATGAAAATACACGAGAGCACTTACATGAGAAGCAACATGCCAGAAAATAGTCCATTCCTACTATTTAAAGTTGTGGTGAGAGTTTTCATATGTCAACTTTTAAAAATCTACCTGGAGTATGAATTTTAAAAATTCTTACATGGGGCACAGAAACAAAAAAAAAAAATTAGGGTACTGAGGCTATAGGGAAGAGTGGACAAGATGGTCAAGGCACCTGTCCTCTCAAAACGTACATCCCAGGGTAGCTGTTTAAAATTTTAACTCAAATGTTACACACTCAAGAGAGGACTTCCCTGACCCAAGTCACTCCACATTATTTTCCTGGCAATTAAAACTATCTGCGATTGATATTTCCTTTTGGGGGGCTAATAAATATATAGATATAGATATATATCTTCACTCTAAAATGTAACCTCCCTGAGAGCGGGAACGTGCACTTTTCTCCAGCTTGTGTTCCAGCTCCTGGACTAGTGTCTGGCATACTGATGTGCCCAATAAATGCTTGTTGAATAAATAAATAGGTTTTGTTAGTTCTGTGCCCATTTCACAGAGGGGCAAACTGAAGTCTTTGAGCGACATCGGCTCTAGCTAAGTGCCCCTGTCCAAGTCATCCAAGCACAGAGCAGCTCCGGTCCGATGCCCCCCAAATCCTCTCTCGCCCCAACAATGGAATCGACCGGCGGCAGGCCGCATCCTGGCCGATGTTCCCGCGGATTCGCCCCGCAGTACCTCCTGGATCCCGCCAGGGGGCAGCAGAGGCGGAGGCGCCCAGTCGGCCTGGAGACAGCGGGAGGGGAGGGTTTCTGCTTCCGGGCAGGGCTGGCCGTTTCCGCTTCCGGCCACTTGTTGCGTGAGGCGCTGGCAGGAGGATGGAAGGGCTGGTGGCTGAGTGCTCCGCACGGCTGCAGCAGCAGGTCGGGCCGCATGGGGCCGGTGGAAAGGCTTGGAGGGGAGGGACCAGGCGCCAATTCCCGCCCAGGCGGCAGCGAGGCGGGGACCGTCCTGCCTCCGTTCGACGCGGACCGACGGCGGGGTCCCGAGACCCGGGCCCGCGCTGCCTCGGAGGCGAACGCCCTCCCGGGGACGCTCTCCCCGGGGTGGGAGAGGAAGAACCCAAAGGCCCCCCGGGGCCGTGAGGTTCAGGGGAACGGAGGGTCCCGCCCCCTCCCTTAGACCCTCCACACCAGCGTCCCGGGCGGCCGGAGCCCCGCGTGTTCAGTCCAGCCCCTCCCCACAGCGCTCCTCTTGCCCTGCGCGCACACGTGCGCCCTGGTTTGCGGCTCGGCCGCGGTTCTGCCCATGATACGGAGCAGGAGGAACCCCGAACAGCCCATCGTGTGGCTCACTGTCCAGTAGCAGTTCGCTCTCTGCCTCCGTGTCCCCAGCTTATAGAAGCGAAAGCGAAACGGTTCCATTACCTTTGATGCCCATCCAGGGAGGGGTGATAGGAAAGGAGTTGAAGTATTCTTATCAAAGGAACTGCTTTGTAGTACTGAATCAGCAGTCACAAAGTGCACGTGGGGCAAGTCAGTTGTCCTTCCCTGTGGAGCGTACTCGTATGTCCTTTGTCAGTGGGGAGCTATCAAGTCCCTTTTCACGGAGCTAACGTAAGAGTTATGGAGAGAATTTCTGAAAAATGTTC